AATGTAGGTTCTTGAATTAGCTGAAGTGGATATGTCAGGATTAACAACAGTTGATTTATTTATTAAAAGTGTAAGTTGCTTTTTGTCAAGCGGGGTTCTTCAAAGGGATGTACAATTGGGGGGAAAAAAACCCTACACAGCAATATTACAAAATAAAGATCAAAAAGCCCTTATTTAAAACAAGCTAAAACAGTGATACAGATCTGTACACATGCTTCCTAGGTTATTTTGGCCTGGCAGTGAAATTATAAATAGAAAGGCTTAAATGATAGCATTATCTGAAGAGAAATGGAGCAGCTACAATGTAGAACTTGTCTATGCGTGTGCTGTAGAGGGAAGAACCCACAACATTTAAATTGTTGCAGTAGAGAGAACACATTCTGTGTCTCATCACTTGGGTAAGCAGAAGACATGCTATGATTAGGAATACTAATATTTTAAAGAGAGCATTCATATTGATAGTGAGGGCAGATTTTATCCAGTAGCTGAAGAGGGCTGATACTACAGCAGACTTTTAGTTGTACGGTACCTAATTATGACTGTTGTGTGATTACATGTACTTGAACTTTAGCTTTTCAATGGCTTAATGCTAACTTTTAGTCCTTTGAAGTTTTTTCTTATATGATGAAAGAAGATAAGTATTCAAATGTACAGCGTACATATACATTACTTATCATGATACTTTGAAGCTCTTTTAAAAGTGCAAAATCGTATGTATTTGTTATTGGGAAGGGATATTAAAGTTCTTACAACAGCCCATGATTTATCAATGGATTTAAATGGTCATGGGGAACCATTGTAGTATAGTGGTTAAAGTGCTGGATTGGTGTCAGGGAAATCCATCCTCAGCTATGGAAGCTAAGTGGGTGTCTTTAGGCCAGTCACTCTCTCAGCCCAAGCTATCTGTCTCACAGGGTTGATGTAAGGGGAAAAACAGAAGGAGGGGGTGATAGATAGACTGACAGACAGACAGACAGACAGGCTGTCATAGGTTCCTGAAAGAAAGGCAGGATATACATCCAAAAGAGAGATAAATAACTGTAGACAGCACTAAAACCATGAATTGGAAAAATTATTTCTCCCCATTGCAAGGTGATTTTTTAATTTAAAGTTCTTTCATTTTTTTTAGTTAGCTTGAAAGATGGTCTTGATTATATACTACTGATTATGTTATTAGTCTTATGACATAGGATCAAAAAGATAAACCTGGAAAACTTAAATTCATGGTTAGTTACAGCAAAACATATTAGGTTATATAAGAAGCTTTCAATTGCAGACTTATCCTGGGAATTTTAGTTTTTTATATCAACCTTCCCTAACCTGTATGCAGTACAAGCCCAGGATTCCATAATACTGCAGCCAGTTTATGGAGACATTGTACTTTTTAAAACATCAAAGAATATGAATGAATGATGCCTGGATTGAGATGATTGATGATTCCCTTCCATCTAAATATACATGCTCAGCATTGTAACATTTCAAATAGTGCAGTTTTTCAAAGCATTGCAAACTAATGTCATATTTTTAACAAGAATCTCGCCATAATAACAAAAAGTGACTTTGCCAAAGAAACACCCAGTTTAAACAAAAGCTTGTTCTTAAAATAACACTGGATGCAGAATGCTATACAATCAGATTACTTCAGTGTAATGTCTTTTGTTTCAGAGTCAATATATTCCCCCAGGGATAGTAGTATTTGGTATAATGGCAGGGTATGTTTCAAACCACTCCCTTCTACTGATAAAAAGGCAAAAAGAAAAGACGGGAGAGGGAGGAAGCCCAACAATATAAGTTGAACCTTTGATTTTGAGTAGTATGTAGGACTGCCCCAGTAGTCCTAGATACTATTCATTTTCTTACTTGTTTTTAATTTACGTAGGTTACTGACACTTTAATTTAAAAATAATGTTCTATTTTTTTGTGCCTGTGACCTACATGCTATTTGTTGCTTAGCTAGAATGCCATATTAAATACTACATGGAGGAGTTTTCTGCCAGTTTTATGGTATATTTAGTTGGGCCAAGCAGCTGTCTGGAGGCCCACTGATGTAGAGGTGGTTCTCCTTTCCCTTATGAACAGAATATTAACGGGAATGAAGTAGATTCATTACAGTATTGATCTCAAAAATAAATATGTGTGCATTATATATTATCTTTCCTCCTCAAACTAAATTTGGGTAGTCAGAATTCAGAAGTGAAAAAAATACCACCTTTTATACAGACTTGGGAAACTCCTCAGATACAGAGGCATATTTATTTGTAACTTTTTTTTAAAGGAAACCTAATATTTACACACGAAACCCCTATGAAGATTAGTGCCTGCTGGAATATATGGATAGGGAGGGCAACTGAGCCATAACGTGGTAGTGAAAGGTGAAAATAGGGTGACATGGAGGAAGAGAGTGATCAGCTCACACTTACGCTATTAGGGTAGGATAGATAACTGCTGTGTGGTTAAACATCCCTCTTACTAGGCTATACAGAGTTTTGAGAAGAAAAGGGAAAAAGGTACCACATTTTCACTCTAAATTTCCTGTAGAAATAAACAGTCACATCTGGCATTGACATCAAAGCTGAACCTTGAGGTTAATGGTTGCTTCAGCCTCACTTGCCAGTAATGGAGATGGCGCTGAGGAAAGCAGCTGGTGGGACCAGAGCCCAAAGTATGTAGCACTACTTATTCTCTCCCTTTCTAATCTCTCTCTCTGTGGTTTTTAACATCCTTTTTTTTTTTCTTTCTTTCCCAACTCAGTAGTATGCCTGGAAACACACAAATTGGGCTATCACCAGGCTAAGTTGCTTGTTGTCAGAGAGCTTCTGAAATTCAGCAGAGGGCCACATGTGGAAGCAGATTGCTCATCTACTATTGTTTCTATATAATACTGGGGACAAGCTTTTAAGAGTGTGGAAAAGGAATAGTAAATCTTCTCCACTCTGCAAACCTCAAATAGCACTACATTCTGTTCCATGATGGCTACAGCCACAAGTAGAAACACTTTTGGTAGGAGACCCCAAAAGTGTTTTCCTTGTACACAGAACTAAAAAGTTTCAGACTTGAATTTATGAAATTGTGTTACAATTTTTGATGTTATCATCTTCTCGAAATCAAGTTGCTGTAGCAGCTGATGTTCATTCTGAAAGAGTGCTATTTTTTTCCCAAGTTAATTGTTTTATTGAATAATAAAATGTGAATAATATTATAGAATACAGGTAGTCCTTGGGTAATGACAGTAATTGGACTGGAATTTCTGTGGCTAAGCAATGCGGTCATAAAGTGTGACATCACGTCACTGCATCGTTTAGTGACGGCAATCCCAGCAGTCCCTATTGCCATTGTTAAGTGAGGAACACAGGTTGCGTAACAAGGACCTCCTTGTAATTTCCAGCCGGCTTCCAACAAGCAAAGTCAATGGGGAAGCCGGCAGGCGGTCGTGAGTCCCGGGTGGCTTGCCAACAGGCCAGCAGGTGTGTAAGTGGCAGCCGCGGCCTGGCATGAGTGCAGCCGGGCTGGGGGTGGCTGCTGCCAGGGATGGGAAGGCACACAAGTGGCTGCTGTGGCCCAGTGCAGCCAGGCCGGGGGTGGCTGCTACTGGGATGGGAGGGCACACAAGCTATTCTGTATTCTGCCGCCCCTCCCACACCCAACTGACCCTTGCTGTCATCTTTCTCCTGTTGCTGATGAGGCATCCTGGCCTGGCCCTTCACAAGGAGTTTTTCCCGAAGTCACGTGAAGCTGCATGCGGCCTCAGGAAGAAGGCCTTGCGCGGCCAACAGCTGCCTCATGAAGAGCCCAGCTGGGCATGCCTTGTCAGCAGTGGGAAGAAGAAGTTGGCGAAGATAAGCTGGGGGCAGCAGGCATGGTGGAGCACAGGAGTGCAGGGAAGCAGGGGCAACGTAGTGCAGGGCAGCCAAAAGGGCAGAGATGGGGGGGGAGATAGGCAGATGGGGAGAAGTCGAAGCACATCTAAACATGGGTGGGCTGCCAAGTGCCCAAATCTTGATCACATAACTGCGTGGGTGCTGCAATGGCCATAACTTCAAGGACCGGGCATAAGTACCATTCGTTCAGTGCCATTGTAACTTTGAACAATCGCTGAATGAATGGTTGTTAAGCAAGGACTACCTGTAAGATAACAGCTGAATTCAGTGGTATATATACAATATATACGATAGAAACTAGAAATGATTAACACTATGATGATTTAAATAAATTAAACCTTTAAAAATGAGAAAGAAGTTTATATCAGTGTTAAACATGATTGCTAAAATGTTAAAATATTGATGAACAATTGCAAAATGGATTGAATTATTTTATAATATGAGTGCTAACTTTTCGATCAAATTCTTCTTCCCCAAAATGTCTAGCATCTTTTGGGGAATATGTTTATCCTATTTTTATACAGGTAGTCCCCAGTTTAAGAATGAGTTCTGTTCCCAAGGTTTGTCCTTAAGTTGAATTTGTATGTAAGCCAGAACAGTATTATTGTATAATACCATATAAGTATTATTGTGTTATTAACTCAAACCATTGTGTATTTAACACGAATCATTGTGTATTTAACTCGATTTTTGCTACAATAGGCTCCGTTCTTAACTGTGGGTCATTCTTAACCCAGGGACTCCCTGTATTGCGTGTCTCTGTTAAACCAATATTTCCGTTTTGGTTGGAAAATTAGCCAAGGCAGATTTCAGTTATGGTGCTTGTCTTATCCTCAAGTTCTTATGGCCTGCTTTTTTCTCCTTAAATCTTAGCTTGGCTATGAGGCAAGTTTTAGAAATAGCTGGGAGGGTGTCTTGCCTGAATGGGAGAGGCTTTTGACACCTTCATAGTTTCCAAGGGCTGCAAAGGGTGTTGGTTTGTAAGATTGAAGAATTGTATGGGGGGCTTTTTTTTGGCTTTTGTTTTTTGGCCCTGCTCTTTTCAACAGGAATTCAGCAAAGAGTGGGAGTGGTGTGGAAGTGTCTAGTCAGAAGCAGGGAATAAATACTGCGTGCTCCTGTGCTTGCATGCAGTGAACAGAGGAAAACTTTTTCTCTCTTATCAAGCAATAAATAAAAGAGGACTGTGCCCCTTTCATAGGCATTTTCTAATTGTCTTGCAAGAGTTAGAGCAAAAAGGAAGAAAACAACTGGTGTAAAGGCAAAAACAACAATTCAGAAAACGGCCTGTAGAGTTTTATTTAAATAGGACTTTGAACTGTGCTCTGAACCATGTACTAAGTGACAGTAAAATGCATTTCTAGAGTCATACATGAGGAGTGCTGGTGCAACACCTATTTTCAGAAAATACCTGTGGTCAGACTAGATATGCAGATGTTAAAAATATAAAGGTAGGTATGCATGTGTTTCTGTGGCTTATCAGTGTGTGTGTGTGTGTGTGTGTGTTTTAAGTGCTTCCCTCTCTTATTGCCTAAGGTGAAAAATCGCAAGTAAAATGGTAGGTTTTATAGGCGCTGTAAGAAGTGTACAGCTCTTATCTATTTGAGATCAGTAACAGAAAACTTAATTTAATTTTGTGTTGGCTTGTGCCATTCAAGCTCACATGGAAATAAGCATATCAGCGGATGGTGGAAACTGATTTCCAAGTATAAAATCGGGCCATAAATGTGAAGTATTTGTGCTTTCTCTGAGTGTCATAAGTTTAATTTTATCTTTTCCTTGCTTGCATGTGACCACTTTATTTCCTTTTAGCTATCTCTTCGTCTTCATTTTGTGCTCTTTCTTGCTACTCTGATTCTGTCCTATTGTGAGCAGGAGTATATTTTTGATTTTTAGATATATTACATATGTCTCTAGTTTGGGTGTATTACCATTACTTTGATTTATAAATACATTTTTAGAAGTCCATATTAGCATGCTTAATCAATACACTTTTTAATAATTATTTTCAGGAATGTTCCTCATTTTAAACAATATTTTATATCCTATTGGTTTCCTGTGAAATAGTGGACATTTCTTACTGTGGAACTAAACAAAGGATAAAAATTTTCAACTAACCAATATATAGCAACAGTTAGAGCTAGAATGTCTGCCAACAAGGTATGAATAATAGTTGGAATTCATTCCATTACTGATAACTATATAGGATTTATCGAATGAATGCTGCAGTTGAACAATCTGAGTTATTTGACATGTAATATTAAGTAAGATAAGTTAATATAATTTTTTTTTGTTCACTCTGAATGTTTAACAGTAGCAGCCTAGAAGATACAGTGGACATATCGTTAAGGTCCTATTTGGGATTGTAGTGTCATAGACATGCTGCCAATGGCATCATTGCCAGACGTGGGAAATGATAGCCTTGCCAGATGCTATATGTAGAATTGTTGTTTTTGCTGTGCTCCATTGTGGCACTAGAGGTGGTGCCAGTTTCCACAGGTGTTAATTTTAATAGTGCATTTGTATTCTTCCTTCCTTCTTGAAAGCGTGTGGAGGTGTACATTTTATTCCTACAAGAACAAGGGTGGACTGAGATTTAAGTCGTTAAGTCGTTAAGTCGTT